AATGTAGAAGGAGTTCAGGGAAGACGAGAATTTTTGCACAAAAAAAGTCATTTTTCGACCCCCATTTGACCCCCCGGGGCAAAATCAAAATACAGAAACTTTACTGCACATCTACATGTCACCACTAATCATCCCACAAAAGATGATTAGGCTGCTAAGTAAAATGTAAGAGTAGTTCAGGGTAGATGAGGCTTTTTACATAAAAAACGTCATTTTTCAACCCCCATTTGACCCCCCGGGGCAAAATTAAAATTCCGAAACCTTACTGCACATCTACATGACACCACCAATCATCCCCCAAAAGGTGATTTGGCTGCTGAGTAAAATGTAGAAGGAGTTCAGGGAAGACGGGACTTTTTGCACAAAAAACGTCATTTTTCGACCCCCATTTGACCCCCCGGGGCAAAATCAAAATTCTGAAACCTTACTGCACATCTACATGACACCACTAATCATCCAACAAAAGATGATTAGGCTGCTAAGTAAAATGTAAGAGGAGTTCAGGGAAGATAGGGCTTTTTGCATAAAAAACGTCATTTTTCGACCCCCATTTGATCCCCCCGGGGCAAAATCAAAATTCTGAAACCTTACTGCACATCTACATGACACCACCAATCATCCCCCAAAAGGTGATTTGGCTGCTGAGTTAAATGTAGAAGGAGTTCAGGGAAGACGGGACTTTTTGCACAAAAAACGTCATTTTTCGACCCCCATTTGACCCCCCGGGGCAAAATCAAAATTCCGAAACCTTACTGCACATCTACATGACACCACCAACCATCTCTTAAAAGATGATTAAGCTACTGTGTAAAATGTAGGAGGAGTTCAGGGAAGAAAAGTGTGACAGACGGACGGACGGACGGACGGACGTGAGTAACAACAATATACCCGAACTTTCTTTAGAAAGTGCGGGTATAATTACAGAATCATGTAAATAATATCACCAATTTCAATGTTGAGATTTTGGGAGAAAACAAATTCGTATATCACTGTCAATTAAAAATACAAATATCAAGTCAAATTTACAGAACCTGTTGAACTTAACTTATATTGATTGATTTATATATATAAATGTTCATACACAATTCTAAATGCTAACAAGAATACTTGAAATAAAACAAACAAATATCTGTTAAAGGTTTAATTCAATGGCCATTTATATGATATTCATTTTTTTTTAAAGTTTATATAAAGTTTTTTTTTCTGACGCATTTTTCGGATCCATTGCTTTCCCTTCTCTTTGTGACTAAAATCAAAGGCAACTTTATTGTACATTTATGAAGAAAAGGCACTCATATGGAAGCGAATTAAGCTTTAGTAAAAATGAAATCTAAAGGAATAAATATGAAACCGTCCAAACTTTTTTTAAATAATAAAGGTATGTCTTACTATAAATGGCACAGTAAACAAAAAACCAAACAGCGTCAAAGCAGACAAAATAGTCCCATTGCGAGACGATATTCAAACAAATATTTTTAACATCCCATTCGTTGTAAAAGTTATTGATCAATATTTTTGCTTGAGAATTAACCTGAAAGAGAAGCAAGATATTTATTGAGATATTCGTGATATAAAAACTTGTGCACATACGCTGCTGAATGCATACATTATATTGAACAGGAACTATTTTCAATAGCGCGGGCTTTTCGAAATGTTGAAATGAGTTTCATGTTTCATATTGTTTTTGTCGGTGTTATTATAGTGGTTATATATACTGTGTATTATTTTAACTATTCCAAGACTGAATTTTTAAATTATGGGGAAAAAGTGCTTACTGAATAGAAAATATGCGAGAATTTCTTGGAAATATTATTTATTAAATTTTTAGATCATAACATATCTTGGGGTCTCGACTGTCAATTTGAATTACGGGTACATGGGATATTGTTTTAAATTACAATCATACAAACTCTACCTGTTAAAAATCAATGGCCAAAAGGAAAAAAATTAGTATGTACTAATTTCGAATCAGACATTATACTCGAGCAATTAAAGCCCGACTTTCAGTTCTTTCAATACATTGATTTAATTTAGGCAGAGACCAGTGCAAATTTTAAGATGAATTCTTGTAAATATGCAAAATTTCCCATATTTATTTACAGGCCTATATTTGAATTCATCTGAAATAGAATTTGTCTAAAATCTTGTACATGAAAAGAAGAAAACCTTTGCTGTAGCCTTCAACTCGACATTTCGATATATCGACGACGTTTTGTCAATTAACAATGGTAATTTAAATGACTTTAACTTTACAATCGTCAACTTCTGTTACTTCTGCAGCAATATACCTTCATCACCTGCATATGCAGTTATATATCTCAGTTGATTCGATATGCAAGAGCATGCTCTGCGTATGAACAGTTTCCAAAACGGGGTAAATTATTGACAAACAAGTTGATGAAACAGGATTATCAGCATTCTTGTTCTAAGTTCTATGGTCTATACAATGACCTTGTCAGCAAATACAATTTATCATTGAGTCAAATGCGGACTGACGTTTTTCATACTTATTGATAGTCCATTATTTATACACTAAACTTTTTTTTCGCTATCCCGATCATGACAAGGAGCATACGGCGGGTGTGACCGGTCGGCAGGGAATGTTCACCATTCCATGGCACCTGATCCCACCTCTTATGTTTTGAGGTCCGTTCATTTACTAGAAAGATGCAGAGACATAACTATCTTAAATTAAAATGTCATAAAATTCGCGCATATTTGCTTTGTTGCTACGTGGCATGCCCTATTTGTTTAATAATTGGGTATTATATAAATATTGCATGTAGTTGAGTGTAACATTGAAAATTTTCACCCCAAGAAATCATTGTCAACCGAGGCGCAGCAGAGTTACACTCAACTACACGTAATATTTTATTGCCTGACGTCACGGCGTCAGGCAGTATAAGGATTGATATTTCCAAGATCCGAAAATGTGCGACATATCTTAAGAGCTAGATTTTGTGCAAGCTGATTTACATTGGAATTCTTTACCTGCCTTTTAAAAGAAACATTTTCAGAAAAAAGAAATATATTACTGATGCGAAATACTGCAGTGTTTACTTCCTTTAATCTTTTTGCATGGGACAGATTATTTAATATGATTTGCCGTTTCAACATGTCCGTGTATCCTTTTTTCTGCATTTCTATACTACTGGATCAGTCCATTTATATTCTACGAAAGGGGTGAATCGCTCTTTTCGCGCCAAATGTCACTAGTAAGCTATCTTCGCACCTTTTCCTTGGATTGTTCTATTGTATGAATGGGTGTGCTAACTTCCATGGAATTAAATAAAGTTTGTCCTTTTAACTTCCTTCTAATGCTTCAGAAATTCTATCTACAAGTTTTATACCATTCCTTAAAACAAAAAATCGTATACATAATTAAAATACATGGTATATGGACGTGTAACACTAAAGAAATGATGTTTCTAATTTGTTTACCGATCCCGCGGTTTTTTTATTCCATAAATGGACGAGTCCAATAATAATAAACAACGCAGTTCAAGCCATCGTCTCCAGATGCCTTATCTATTATATGTCTTTGTTCAGATGCACACGATGAATAAGAAAGTAGTGAATAATCTTGGACATTTCTTTCTACAAAGCCTACTGAATTTACTTTTTTCATTCTCAATATATCATATATTATATGATAGTGTCATCCCCTCCCCTCTTAAGAAAAAAAAATAATGAACACACATTACTACTGTTTACTTCAGAGGAGAAAATACACTCCAACAAAATGTGTTTTTAATCATATCCATCTTTTAAAATGTTCACAATGCGTGAAATCAATTTAGATCCAAGGGCAGATCACTCCACTTGCAGACCCTCCCCCCTCCCCCCCCCCCCCCCACTTCAACTACAAAGTTCTTTAGTATGCAGTGTAGAGATGATTCTTCTACACGTTCAGTAAAATCAAGATTTCAATTACATAAGGTTCTCAAAATATAAAGTTAGGATATTTTTTAAACCCACAAAGTATTGCTCAAAAGGGTTATCACTCTTCATGCAGATAAATTGATTGATTTAGTCAGGCAAGCTTTTTAAAAAGCTGTTACTTGTTATATTATTACAAATACAGTGAACCGTGCGCGCATACATTCTGCGCAGTCGCTATTTTTTGGAATATCACCCGTCGTCAAGCACTGTTGACTGTTGCTACGCTGAAGGGCGTGGCTTCATTATTCAGCGTATAATAGTGTTTTTTAACAAATGTTTCTCGACCAATCAGATTCAGGTTATTTACACGAAAGTATAATATTAGTTAGTTTAGTTAATAATGGCGAGTTAATACTTAATTGTAAGCTAAACTGTATGACAGAGTGACTTCAGATATTAAAATTCATTTGTTATCATTTGCTAGGTCATTGCTTTATTTATGTACATGTACTTAATTCGATATGAAGCAAAGCACTTCCTGTACCGGATTAATATAGAGGACCTACGGCGTGTGAGACGGAAAAATAGGGAATGCCTCCTCCTCCTTGTTTCGGCTCTTGATATCACTTCATATTTTTCCAGGGACCCATGGATTTTTGTCTTTTCTTTCTGTTTACGATATGTTTTCCCTACTTTATTTATGTGGTTCATCACTTTTCGCTACCTCTACCTTTTAATTTTCACTTCTGCAACATTGCGTACATAGACCAAAATGTCAGTTATAACGAAAGACAATAAATATATAAATATATATATATTTATTTTAATTCAGGATATAATTTGCAGAATCAAAAATAAAAAATGACTAGAAACAAAATTATGCAAATACACATAAAATGAATTATAAAATGGTTTGTGAAATGAACAACCATTGCACATAGAAAAATAAACACTCAGTACAAACATACTTTTCAAAAGTGAGACCTTTCAAACATTGTTTCTCTCTACATTTTAGTTTGCTATCAATGTTCAAAATACCATATATCAAGGTATTTTATTAACTTTAAACTTAGTAGAAAGTGGAACACTTATACTAGTATTTAATTCATTAAGTCAGATTTGTCTTTAGAATGGAATCCCAATAAAAATACTCGGGAGGAGTGAGTGTTGATCGAGTCCTGTAAAATGATCACAGCTTTTGAGAATGGCGATGTCTGCACATCCATAAAACTGCTCCTGACCACCTCTGCCCATTCCACATCCGCTTCTGTCACAGCCCCAACTGTTACCTGATGTAAAGAGAGTAAACTTGTTAGATCTGCTTCCTATACTAACTTAAGATAGAGAGAATACTGATTCGGGAAGAAAAGATTCGTAAATTTATGCTCATTGTTTTTCGATTTTGGGGTATTGAAAAATAATTAAAATATGAATGAAACTTGAACGTCATATAAAGATGGAAAAATTAAAGAATGTTACCATCATGAATGCTCTTTTTCCATACTTAGAAAAAAAATTAAAACAAAATATCTGATAGTAACCGTCAAGAATTCTTACCCGTATTATACTTCCACTGCAGAACACACTGAGTACATGAAACGCTGGGAGGAATCTGAAGATGAAGGTTTATCACACCATAAACACTACCTCTGACGTAGTGCCGGGTGCTGTTGTCCGGAAATCTCAAAAGGTTCTTGTCTAAGCAGGCTTGAGTTATGGCTGTAGATGTGTCGTTATGTTCACAGAGTCTAAATTCAAAGTACCCAAGATGGTTGGCTGTTAGTTCGACTTGAATGTCCATGTTTTGACCAGAGGGTTGATATTGATAGCATTTAGAAATGATGCCTGTAGCGTATTTTCCCCCAGCTTCGTTTTCACGCGGGTTTTGCTGGTAAGGGTCGCCACATATACCACATTTTCCTCTGTTAATTCCCCATTGATTCTGAAATTTTGAAAAAAAAATGAATTTTTAAATGGTTTTTAAAATCTGAAATGTTTACAAATCATATGAAGAAAATCGTGAAGAACATTTATTGGCCACTGCTACATTGTTTTTATTGAAACCCAGCATTCTTGATATATCATTATCTAAACCGTTAAATTATTCTTCATTATTAATATATTTATCTAACAAGTCTAATTTACCTGGTGCTATTGTACGTGAAGAGAATTGGATGAAATATAATGAGTGTGATGGCTTACCCATTTCCCTCCACACCAAAGCTGGTGATCATTGTCATTCTCGGGGGTCGGGAAACCGTACCTCCACATAGAACTTCTGGAGGGGGGCATGATAAGACGACCGTGGGCCTCCGCCAGGCAGGGCAGCAAGGATGCTAATAGAGCAGACAAAAGAATACTCAAAGAATTCATCGTCCTCCAATTCTGGTATATTGCTTACGAATTCGGTAATTTTCTGGTTTTTGAATGAAGTAACTTTCTCTTTTTATATCTTTTTATATAAATCGATTCCGCTTCCGTGTTTGGAATGAGTTTGAGATTTTTTGCAACAGGGATTGGGGTACCTTGGTAATTTGACAGAAACGCAGAAATGTACAAATAATGGATCAAAGAAACTGATAAGGGTCAGACGATCTAAATAAATTTGTGATGACAATGAATCATTTTGGTATTTTTTCTCTTTTCCCCCCAAAACATACCCTCATGGAAAAGAGGGTACTGTGTCACCGAGTACAGAATTTACAGTTTACATTCTTTTATTTGATATTCCTTTAATTTACAAGGCACATCATTTGAGACAAAAAAGGTTAGATTATCCAATTATTAATAAAGATTGAAATCATTTTACAAATAACAATATGCATTGACATATTTTCAATTGCCATTCTTAATATGTATAGAAGAATACCAACAGGGGCAAGCGAAATCTCAATAAACGTTTAGGGAAAAATTAATTTGCTTCTATGAAAATAAATCATAGAATACTAGTAATTGATGGAGAGAGAAATATGGAAATCCCTAAAATCAGGGGCATGCTGGAATTTGATTCATGTCAATAAGTTATTAGAAAAATATTTTAATTCTGATTTCCAAGGGGAAAAAAAGTTCAGTATCATTTTTTGAGAGAAATAATGGTATATTTCTTCTAATATTGTTTTATAATTACTCAATTTTCTCTGCAATTGAAAATCTTCATTTATAGCCCCTTAACCTCTGCGACTTTTTTGCTTTGTAAATCTTAGATTTGCAAAAAAGTTCAAAATACCCTATTCTTATTTCGTATTTGTCTAGGAAAGAAAGACATTTAGTGGCAATAATCACTGTGGTTTGTTTCAGAATGTGGTAACTATGCCGCTTAACCTTTAACTCTATAATTCAAAAAAAATATATCAGGTGAAGATAACAATTATCGTTCTCAAAAAAAAATCTATAAAGAATATAAATCTGTGAACAGGCATAAAACACATGGACCCTGAAAATTCCTGAGTAGGGATCAGGTACCTTGGAGGTGTAAACATCCCCTGCATGCTGACTGGTCACACCAACCGTAAGCCTTATGATTCGATCAAGATCTAACATTTAATATGCATAACGAAACAAGTCGGCCAAAATACGACCTAATAATAAGTTTTATATTTCACAAGGTCAATGACCATAAAGTTCACAAAAATGCTGGCTTAAATAAGCAATGTTGCTGAAATCCCTGTAACATCAACTTTTTAGTGAGTGGCCTGCCTCGTTTTAAAAATTGATCGTTCACAGTGAAAGTTTTTGAGTAGCGAAAGAATTGGGAAATGTAAACATCGTAAGCAGGTGTTAATTTAAGCAATATTTTATTATGCATTAACATAATAGGATTGGACAACAGGCACTGCCTATATAAGTCCTTTCCACAATACAAAGATCAAAGTCATACATGTACAAGTAAATATTAACTACATAACATTGAAAGATATAAATATATACATGCATATACTAGTATTCAGTAGAATTATAACAAGGCAAATTTAAAAAAAAGCAGGTGTTAGTAGAATATTACATCTAAAATAAGGACAATTGATGATGGCAATTTTAGCTGACGTCATTTTGTTTTTGTAAAGTTGAGTTGTAAGTTGGCCCCTATTGTCGATATAGAGTCAGTAAAACATCAAAATAATCACCTGATGTTGCAGACTCTGTGTAGTCCTTAACTTACTGGGGTATATCTAGTCGACATATAAATGAAAATAGTTATTGTAAATTAATAAAACATTGTCAGTATATCTGAATGTCGAATTGAAGGTCACAGCAAGTGTTTCTACTTCTTATGTAGAAGTTTTCATCATACCGGTATATAAAATGACATTTGGTTAAATTTATTTTCGGCTCCATTCTCATATATTTTTTAAAGAAAACACAGAGATACAAATGTATGAATGATATTTTAAAGGCATGTGTTTTCTCTTCTGATTTGCATTGTTTGAATGTACTTTTGAGTTTGGATAGGGTTCGTTATCTCTGTATTGTATGAGACAGTCTTCTACAGAATCCAAATTAATCAGGAAGTTTGAAGGTTATCAAAACAAGCTGATTCATTTAAGGTTACATTAAAGTTTAAGTAAACAAGGCAGAAAGTTGTTACAGAGAAAGTTTTTAGGTAGTATTATTCCAAATTGAAAATGGCACGATTTTTTTTTCTCATCATTCCTTTCATATTTTTTTTTCTTATTGTACTTCATATTCTATAGTTTTTTTTATTATACTTCAGTGAAAAGATGCACAAACTTATACTTTTTTATGGATAGTTATCAAGTGTTTATTCAATATTTTTCAGACATTTTGTTTGAATGTTATACAGATTAAGAAGAAATTCTGTATTTTCATTTTTATGGATATGTGTATAATGTTCTCTACTACAGATCTTTTGCTTTTCTTTTAAGTAAACAAAGTCTTACTGTTCTGAAAGGAAAATTACTTTAGAGTATTTAGTTCATACTTTCAGACTACAACTTTGTGCAAAAACCATAAAATATGTTCAAATTAGCTTGGACATAACATGAAATAAAAAGAACGTATCCGATATTTATAGAGTCTTTCAGCATGAAATCCTTTGAGTCCATGACATTGGCATTAGATTGACTTAGACAGAGTCAAATTACTTTACTTTTTTAAAATTATAAATTGTTATCTACCAAACTTGAACATGATAACATGCTACTCGCTATGTATGGATAAAGACAATTAGGGTGTGACTCAATACAGGAAATCAATGGTTTAAATAATCCCAAGCCTTTTATGGATTATACAAGATTACGTGGAATATAATATCTACTTTTCAGGGGAAATTCGTCATGATCTTTAAACCATTTCATTATTTTAAGTTTCATCTCCTAGACCAGCGTTGTATGAAGTTTTTTCTGGTCACAAGGAATCTCTAATATGATGAACTTTGAAAGTCTTTAATGGTTTCTTTTACGCAATATTTACTGGAAAGAAATCTTAATTAATATGATTATAAATTACTTTGTTATTATACCCCCCGCTTGAAAAGCGGGAGGGTATATAGTAATCGGTATTTCCGTCCGTCTGTACGTCTGTCCGTCCGTCCGTCTGTCCGTCCGTCCGTCTGTTACGCTTTGGGGTACCCATCTCTTATCCGCAACTCCTCCCATACCACTGAAGGAAATTTAATGAAACTTTCACAGAATCTTTATTACATATTGCCATTGTGCACCTCCTATTTTACTTTTTGATCTGACATATTTTTTCAGAGCAAAACATGGACACTGCCATTATATTCATATGGGAGGCGGGGGGTATCATTTAGTGAGCTCATTGCTCACAGTACCTCTAGTTTGATTACTTTTATAGTAAATTTGAAATTGATATTTATTTCTGTGGATCCTTATTCAATTGACAGTGGCTGTGTAGTCTTTGAAACCAAGGCCTTTCAACAATCTCTGGGAAGGGCTTAATAATACGTTGACCTATTCTCTTGAAGCAGAATTTATTCAAAAAACATCTGCGTGAGAAAAAGAAAACTTTTGCCGTGGACCATGATAACAGATGACACTTACTGATCCCTTTTCTGGTGTTTCCAGGGTTAGGTGTTTTTGTCTATTCTTGATGTTTTGTTTACTTTAACTATGAATTAATTAATAAATTACCAAATCAAAAATTTTAAATTAACATCTTTAATCATTAGACATATATTTAATTGACTTAACATAAATTTGAAACAATATGCTTATTTGACTTCATTGATCTCGTTACTGAGTATTTTATTCTAAATTTGAAAATTTTTGGGTTACTAAAATCTTGAAATGAATAATTCTACTTCATTTCAATATATTAGTCTTTACCTTAATTGCTGGTTGATTGCATGTTAGTACAATTTTGATTTTAATCAAAATTCAATTTTTTATATAGTTTTAATCTAAACGTTGTATTAATAGTCAAATATGTATTCTTAGTATGTACATAGGTTTATTCATTCCAATGCTTTACTTATTTTAAGCATATTTTTTTTTTCTTACTAATGTACGACCTGTCGCATTTTCACCGATTCTTGTATTAAGGTATTTCTTGGTGTTTGGAATTATCTAACATTTTAAATGCCAAATTTAGGGACTTGTTTACTGGGAATTTTTGTGATGACTTTGGTGTTTTTATCACTATATCTTACCAATAAGATGCGATAACCTCCCCAGGCACGTCTGTGGATTACTAACGACATGTAACTTATTATTACATACTAGTAGCTCCAAAGATTGTAAAACACGTGCGAGGTCCTAAGCGTCTTTCTTTGATCCTTACTTACATGAGACCAATGCCCGTTTAAACATTATGTTTCATGTATCATAGTTATGGATATGCACAGTATACTAGTTTTAGTCTATTTATGGTTGTGAAGTTAAAGTTAAAATCCTGATATGTTTAAATAATTATTATATCATAAAAAAAACTTTGTTTTGTTCAGTTTTTCAGAGTTTTTTTTTTTTTTTTTTTTTTGTTTTTTTTTGTTTTTGTTTTTTTTTTTTTTTTTGTTTTTTTTTTGAAAGGAGATCATTGTTAATTTCACATTTTCCATGACATTGTTTCATGTAATATGAAATAAAAGGTGAAAAAAATCTTTTTCTCAAAAACTTTATTAATTTGTAGATGATTGTGTCAAAACTTGTACATTTGTACCTTTACATATATTATGCAATCACATGACATTGCACAAAGGCCATACCAGTATTTAATTTCCAGACAAGAGAAATCAACATCAGAAAAAGTATGTAATTATTCAAAGGAAAGTAAATTAAATAAAACATTAAAATGTAAAATTCTCAAAATATGAGTGGCAACAGATTGTCATAAAAATAATATTGTATCAAAATTGTTCTTCAAAAAATTAGATGTTACAAAAATTATATTACATGGTATAGATTAACGTTCAAACATCTGGTTGTAAAGGTTCATGAATAGTATGTATCTCTTTATTTTGTCATTAACGTTTAAATGATAATTTCAGCAAATTTAAGTATTCATAAAAATATAATAATAAAGGACATGAACTAAACAAAAATGTCCATTGAAATCATTTCTTATTATCAGGAATTAGTGAAGAATGTCTAGGACTGGTTACAGCTTCGGAGAATTGCAATGTCTGCACAGCCGTAGTATTGCTCCTGCGCACCATGACCCTGTCCACTTCCGTTTTCGTCATGACCCCAAAAGTTACCTATTCAAAAAATTCAATTATTGTAGATTTGTTGTGGTAATAATACAGCATAAGGTAAGGGTGAA